TGTGTGTGTGCGTGTGTGTGTGTGTGTGCGTGCGTGCGTGCTGGGGTGAAAGGCGTTTTCGGCGAGCCATGTGCCTCACAGCCCTCGGAGTAAAAGAAGGTGACCTGGCCGTTTCTGCGATGACATTAAGGCGGCCGTGCTGGTTATAAGTCGTGCCGCTCGTGTGTCTTCTCTTCGTTTGCCGCCTTTTCTGCCTGTCTGTCTGTCTGTCCGTCCGTCCGCCTGTCTGTTCGTCCCTCCGCCCGTCTGGGAGGCATTCGGCGTTCGTCGAAAACGGCGGCTATCCGGCGCTGTGCTGCGCTGTGGCGCGCTGCCTCCCGCGCTTCCGGGCGCTGGCGGACCTGGCGGGGCTGCCGTATCTCCGCCTTGTGTTGACCAGTGTGTTGGCATAGCGACACGTTCGCTGCGGCGCGCTGCGGCGTCCCTGTCGCGTCGCCCAACACGCCCGGCGTGCACATGCTGTACGTGAACACGCCGGGCCCCGGGCCGCCTCCCGCCCTGTTTTGTCGTCTTTCGCGAAGAATCTGATGAGATGTAGGTAGAGATGATTACAGACAATTAGCGGTAACTAGAAAAACGACGATATTTAACTTTGTGGGCGGCCCTAGGCTGCGGAGCGCGGCGGAGCGTACCCTCGTGTTGGGTCCGCCAATTCTCACCTTTTTTCTCGGGTCTGCCGCCCGATGTCCGACCCAGGTCCGACCCGCGCGCCGTTGCCCGTGGATACAGCTGGCTAATATTTGCAAGCGAAGTTTTTTGAAAAATGTGTCTGGAGCGAGCTGCGGCTTTTCGGCGACGGGGAATCTCTCCTCCTTTTCTTTTCTCAAGTTCAGAAAAGTCGCGTTTTTTCTTGTTTTTTCTTCGCGTATTTTTGGCGCTCCGGTCCGCTTATGTGTTTGAAGCGCGCCTATCGGCGCCTGGTGCTCTGTCGGAGAGCCGGTTCCAGCGGCCTGGCGGCCAGGCGGCCGAGCGAGAGAGGACTTGAACTCGGTGAGTCCGTCCCCGGAGTGCCGCGGTCGCCCAGGATGCGTACACTGCGAACGGAAGGGGCGGGCGTCGACCCCCATCGCGGCGCTCCGAGGATGGCGAGGACGGCACGCCCAGGATGGCCAGGATGGCGATGACGGCGTCGCGACGAGCACGCCGATGGCGGCCGACGGCGGCCGATGGCGCCGCCACACGTGAAGCCGACGTGCGGTGCGGCGGCCTTCATTGGACCGCGGCAATGAGTCAGCGAACTGCCAATAACGACACACTCAATTATTCGCAATGGGGATTATTGACTATTCGCAGTCGCAGTCGAAGCGCCTCGATGCAGCGTGGGTGGTTTTCCAGAGCAGGATTACGGAGGCGATACCCCGTGTCGCACACAACCCCTTGCAGTGTCGTGTGCCAATAATGTGTCATCGCTCCTGGACTAGACTCTTTTAAACGCAGAGGGCTGTTTTTGCTATCTTAATGCTGCAGATTGCTTTTATTCTTGCTCTTGGGTCCCTCTTGCCTAACAACAACTTAAGTCGATTTCCTCCACTAAAATGTCAGGATTTTTTTCTAAAAAATATGTATTTTTTTCTTGGACGGCGTATTTTACTCGTCTCATCAAGGCCGTTTTCTAGCGGGTTCTTGTTTAATTTTACATTTAATTTTACTTTTAATTTTGACAGTGTTGTACGTAACATGATTCTCGCCTGCATGACGCCCTCTCCACAGGAGGGCCCGCGTGGTTCTCTATGACGCGCGTAGCGAATCTCGCGATAATCTGAGCACCTCTTAAATCCGAATCTAATCTCCTCCTGGGCTCTCGTAGCTCTCGAAGCTGTCGATCTCTCGAACGGTGGCGCGCTTTTCCGGTGCAGCCGTAGTCCGCTGAAGGGGAGCGCCACCGGTGCACAGTGGACTAGCCAGAAGACTGGAGGAGGCGGCCAAAACTCTAGACGCGTTTTGAGCTCCAGAGTCGCTAAATGGGACTCTAACCGAATGTGTGACCCCCACCAATGGATTGCTCTCCGAACGAGGAATCCATTGGTGGGGTTTTACGTAAGGTCCGAGTCCCATTTAGCGACTCTGTAGCTCAAAACGCGTCTAGAGTTTTGGCCGCCTCCGCCGGTCTTCTGGCCCACTGCGCGGTGCAGAGATGTCGCCGCGAGAAGAGTGCAGTGATTGCGCTGACGGAGCCGTGTCATGACCCGTCCAGGCGCCGTCGTGCTGGTGGCCTCGGTGGCCTTGTGGAGGAGGAAGAGCCAGGAGCTAGCGCCGGCTGGCCTTTCGCCAATTTCTCGCTCGCTACCCCCACCGACCCCCACGCGAACGCCAGGTCGCCGTCGACGGCACGCCTGGCGTGCATACATTACGCACGCGGCACGCACGCGGCACGCACGCCGAACCGCTCACAATCGCCTCGAAACAGTGCGGAAGCGCCCTGTGTGTGCAGGTGTGTGTGTGCGCGCCCATAGACGCGTTCGCCCCGGTGCCCTGCTTAGTGGGAGGGTATTAATAGGTGTCCACGTTTGGGCGTCGCGTCGCGTTGCGGACTGAGCAGTGCTCTCGTCGCTCTGTCCCTCTCGCACTCACGGGCCGCCCCGCACAGTGGGCCCCGTGCAGTGCTGCGTAGAGAAGCCCCTTGTGGGGCCCGCCCGCGCGGTGTTTGTTGTTGTGCTTTTTGGTGGGTCAAGGACTCGGGGCTCGGCGCCGGTTCGAGGAAAGCCTTTTTCGGGGGTGGGAGTTTACGCTGTGCATGCACACGCACGCTGCACGTGGGATTCCCCGTGGATTGCACGTGTGGGAGGGGGGCTAGTTTTTTGGCACGTGTGCATCGCGACTCTGTTCCGCACGTGTGGGCCCAGAGGGAGGCTTGCACGTGCAAGTGTGTGTGTGTGTGTGCGTTCCACGCACGTGTGCATCCTGCTCTTTGTGGTGGCTGCACGTTCTTGTGCACCTTTTGCTCCGAGAGAGAGCGAGAGAGAGAGAGAGAGTGGGCGCTCCCCTCTTGATGATGATGACGCTCCAGGCCATGCAGCTGCTCATGAATCGAGTTGACGACCCCGGCCGCGCTGCCGCCGCTCTGCCCCGAGCTCTGCCCGCCGTGCGTAATGTTATTTGCGCAGACGGACGGCGGATGGACGGATGGCCGGACTGAGAAATTACTTGTCTGAGTTCCACTCGGCCCGTAAATCTTTCCACAATGCGTTCGATAAGGCTGGGGGTGGTGGCAGCACTGCGGCACTGCACTGCGTGCTGCCTGTGCACTGTAGGCTATGAGCGGCCATTCAGGTTTGTTGAACCTCGCGGCATGCAGGGTGGCCAGCCTGGCGGGCGGTGTGTCGAGCCGCCGCCGTGGTTGACGTCAACCGATTCTTTACACTGCGCCTCGATGTTTTTATTTTATTATTTTGTTGTTGTTTTGGTTTTTGTTTACCGCGTCGCGCCGGTCCTCTCGGCTCCTCTGCCCGCCGAGTGTAGTAGGTAGATAGCGTCCGGAGATTAAAAGCCCGCGCCCTACACACCCACATTCTGCATTCGGATGATTCCGACAACGACGAGTTACGTGACTCAATGGAATTCAAAGGCGCGGGTTCGAATCCCATCTCATCCCAGATTTTTTTTTGTCGTCGACGAACTCGCCACTGCGTTCGGGAAAGGCGGTGGTTTCGCCTCGCCTTTTCCCCCGAAATTAAAAGCGATGAGTCGCGCGGCGTGAGGCGGCGCGGCGGCGGCCAAAAGGCCAAATTGGTCGGGGCGTCGACGCCGACCGGGACTTGGGAGTGCTCCCCTCTCCGCCTGCGCTACGCGCGCTGCGCCGTGGACGCCGTGGCACTGTGATTACGGAAGCCCGCTTCTGGGAACGAATCGGCCAGGGCCGCCGGAAGTACTTTCTGGTGGGGGGGGCGAAATTTTATGAAAAATTGATGGGTTGCTTACTGTTAAGGGGCAACACCCAATATGGTTGAGACTTCTTAAATAATGTTAAAAATCCAGCGAGCGAAGCGAGCTTGAAGCGAAAATTCACACAATTCTAGACTTTAACACAACTTTTGCCTATTTGAGAGCATAATTTCACGCTTTATTGGCGAGCGAAGCGAGCTAAACGGTAAAATTACAGAGGAAAATGAAAGAAACTTGCGAGCGAAGCGAGCTAGAAGCCAAAAATCAAAGAATTTGCGACTTTGCTATATTTTTCTCTCTATTGCGAGCTCAAAATGGCACTTTTGTGTCTGAAAATGGGGGGGGCGATGCCCCCCCCACCAGATTTTGGGGGGGGCAAGTCGCCCCCCCCGCACCCCACTTCCGGCGCCCTTGGAATCGGCTCGCCGGCGGATGGCGGCGGATGGATGCCACGGTCGCGGGCAAGGACGCGGCGGCGCAAGGCGGCAAGGCGGCGCGCGCCCAGAACAGTCCTTGGAGGCCTTGGCCGCCGAGGCCGGGCTCTCTGGATCAAGGCGCCGGCACGCCGCGGCGCGCCCAGAACAGTCCTTGGAGGCCTTGGCCGCCGAGGCCGGGCTCTCTGGATCAAGGCGCCGGCACGCCGCGGCACGCCCGCGGAGTGGACCAGGGACGCACCGCCCGCCGCCAGGGCCGGCACGTGGACGCGACGTGCGCCTGCTCTGTCTCTCTCGCACTCGCGGGGCGTTGCGTCGAGGTGCGACGCAGACAGCCTGCAGGCGCAGCCGGACCAAGTTCCAGAGTTTGGGGGTCGCGGTCTTGATGGATTGGTGAGGCGGGAAACGGGCTGGAGAGCCCATAGTCCCTGCGGGCCAGGGTGGCCAGGGTGCAGGCCTGCTGCAGCGGTGGGCCGCTGGGCTGCACGACGGCCTGCAAGGCGTTGGCCAGCGTGCATCAGCGGAAGGGGTTCCTGCGCCCCACCCGCCACCACACTCGTACCGCGCCTCGGCCGCGCGGCAGCCAGGCGGCAGCGCCCGCAAGGCAGCCAGCCCGGGCCGGGCCCCTGGGCCCCTGGGCCCCACGCCAGCCCAGCCCCGCCGCCCCGCCAGTCGCACGCCGCGCCGCGCCGCACCACCGCGACAGTCATCTGTGAGACGCGAAGCCGAGCGGTCGCCCCTCGTTCTCCTCGCGCTCGCTCGCCTCGCGGCAGTGCAGTGTGCCGTCTAGTGTGCTCGACAGCCCCACAGCGCGCTGCCCTGCGTAGCCGCGTAGCCGCGTAGCCCTTGGACCGCGCTACGCCCTAACTTGTTATGTGTGTGTGCGAGCTCCGGCCCCGGACCTCTGGTGCCGCGTTGGGCCCGTTGGGCGGCGGCGTGCCCCTCGAGTCCCTCCACCACCCCGTCATGGCCTCCTCCGTGTCGGTGCTCCTGCGGCCCGGCGCCGCCCCCGCCGCCCCTAAGCCCAAACTGGTTAGTGTCGAGTGAGAAGAAGGACGCCCTCGAGGAACTTGTGCCCCCCGCATGTGGTGCTGTGTGTGCGACTTGCTGGCGCCTTGCCTTGCCCGCGGCCCCGTGTGCGTGCCTGTGTGTGTGTGCGTGCGCGTCAAGGCCGCCGACATGAGCCCCATCGCAGTGCAGGTGCGTTGACGACGTTGACGGCTGGGGTGCAGTGGTGCAGTGCAGTAGTGTACAGTGTGGAGGCGAGGGCCGCGACACGCCCGCCTCGCCGGCTGGCCTGCGGCTGGCCCGCCGCTGGCGCCTTTGGCCCTTGGGGCTGGGGTCATCGCCCTCGGCGTCGCCGCCGGGCCCCGCCTGACCGCCACCGTCCAGAAGCCCTGCAGTGTGCCTGTGTGTGTGTGACTGATTGTGGCGTAGGTGCGGCCGTCGCGTCGAGGCTGTCCCAGGCTGTCCGCAGGGGCCGGTCTCCCTTTTCAAGGCCCCATTCACGTGCAGTCGGGGGCCGCGCCTAAGCCATCATGCCTGGCGGTAAAAAGGAAAATACTTGTTGTTGAAACTGATCTCTGATCCGCGGCGTCCTGGCCGTCTCTGGCGTGGGCGTGGTGCGTGAATGTGGCGACGCGTCGTGGGAGTGAGTGTGCGTGTGTGTGAGTGTGCGCGAGTATTTTGGGACCGGCGTGTTGGTTCACTGAGTAACCATGTTATTGCGAACGGCCCACACCGCCCAACGCCACAGCTGCCATGCATGTGTGTGTGACTGTGTGTGTGACTGTGTGTGTGTGTGTGTGTGACTGTGTGTGTGACTGTGTGTGTGACTGTGTGTGTGACTGTGCCCAGACAGGGGGACGCACTGCGAGCACCGGATGCGGAGTGAATGTCCACCCCCTAGCCCAGCCCCAGCGGGCCCAGCGGCCCCAGCGGCCCGGCCAGTCCATCCGGTGCGACGGCCCGCCGGCCCGTCTTCGTGAAGGGACCGAAGCGCGTCGAAGCGTCAGACCGGAAGTGACAAAGACAGAGAAAGTGACGCGTGACGTTTGTCTGTTGCAGGCGGGCGGCAAGTCTGGTGTGGACGTCTGGCGGGAGCGACGCTGGCGCAAAGGCCGAGACTGCCGAGACCACCAGGATGACCAGGAAAACGGCGCCCAGCACGGCTCCCTGCTCAAGTGCCTCGCCATGGTGAGTACCGTTCGGAGGACTCTAGTGTCTTTGTCGACCCGCGGCCGGCCTGGCCGGCCTGGCACTACCGCGAGATACGCGTTTTTTGTCGCATGTCGGCGACCGAGCCGGCCTTAGCTGGTCTTGGCTGGATCCTCATGTCGTCGGCGCATCGCGCTGTGACGTACACGGAGGCAAGGGCAAACTTTCCGGTCGCTCTCTCTCACACACACGCACGCACGCACACATCTGTGAATCGCACACGTGTCCGCCACGCACGGCCACGGCGGGCCGGTATGGGATGGGCCGTAACCCGAAGCAGCGGCAGCCAAGTCAAGCTGCGATTGGCGCTTGGCGCGGACTTCCGCGTTTCGACACGCTTCGCGGGTGTGCATGACGCACGTACGTGCAGTGTGCGTGCGTGCGTGCGTGTGCGTGCACGGCGTGCCGATGCCGCGCGCAGCCCGGCGCAGCCACGCCCGGTCGGTTTGTTTGCTTTGTTGTCACCAAGGCGCTGACGCGCTGACGCGGGCAGCCTTCTATTTTAGTCGCCTTTGGCGTTCTGGCATCGGCTTGGTAGGGGTGACGCCTTTTCCGAGCGGACGTCTTATTTCTCTGTTTGTCGCGCCGCCCTGTCGGTCTGCTTTAATCCGGCCACTGTAAAAAACCGAAAGCGGTCCTGGACTCCAGAGGCTGGACTCCAGACGGTCGTCGCGGCAGTGACGCGGCGCCCTGTTCGCTCGCGGTTTTTTTTTGTCGCGGTTTGTCTTTTTTAATGTGGTGGGCCGAGGGCTATTTCGGTTTGCGGTTTGGGTTTGGGTCGGTCCGCGGCACCGCGACCACGCCGTCAGCATCGTCAGCGCGGTCCTGGAGTGCCAGGCGTGCCAGGGCAGTGCCAGGGAAGCTGCGGGACCGGAGCCGCGAACGTCACAGTCACGCCAACTCATAGATAGTGAATGTTTGACATGCCAGAGCCGCGCGCTGAAGCCTTCCCTCTCTGCCCACAGCAGGCGCTGGAGCTGTCCGCGCCGGCCAGCGACGTGCTGCTCAAGTCCGGCTCGGCGTCGCTGCCCGTCTGCGTGTCCACGGTGTCGACGGGCACGCTGCCGCCGCCCTCGGAGTGGTTCCAGCTAGCGGGGCACCCGGACTGCTTCGCGCCGGCGGGGCCCGGCCGGATATGGAAGAAGGTAGGTCATGGCGAGGAGGAGGAGGAGGGGGAGGAGGAGGGGGTCCCGGACGCGACCGCGGCGCCGCGCGGCAGCGTGCGGCAGCGTGCGGCAGCGACCCACTTGGGCGCCGGAACCAACTGAAAGTAAATTTGACGTGAGCACTTTCGTTGGTCCGCTGTCTCGTCTGCCTCGCCGTGACGGAGTGGCGACGCGGCGACCAGTCGGGGACCGCCACTAAATGGCGTAACGTGGTCTTACCGGAGCACGGCCCGAACGGGAGCCTCGCCGCGGGGGCGTCCTCGCCGTCCTCGCACTCGCCGGGAAATGGCGCCAAGTTTCTAAGTGTTCCTCTTTGCGTCCGGCAGGTCGGCGACTGCACCGAGAAGCTGGCCTACGACGCGCTGTCCACGGACCCCGCGCTGCGCGGGCTCGTCCCGCGGTACCACGGCAGCGTCACGTACCGCGACCACACCTTCATCGAGCTGCAGGACCTGCTGCACGGCTTCGTGGACCCGCACGTGATCGACGTCAAGATGGGCACGCGCACCTTCCTGGAGTCTGAGGTGGACAACCCCACGGCGCGCGCCGACCTCTACCAGAAGATGGTGGCGCTGGACGCGAGCGCGCCCACGCCCGAGGAGCACGCCGCGCAGGCCGTCACCAAGGTGCGCTACATGCAGTTCCGCGAGCAGCAGAGCTCCACGCACTTCCTGGGCTTCCGCGTGGACGGCATGAAGGAGCGGGGGCTGCCGCCGCGCGCCTCGGACCTGCGCAAGGTGGCCAACCGGCAGGAGGTGGTGGCCAGGATGGCCAACTTCCTGGGCGGCAGGAAGGACGTGCAGCGCCGCCTGCACTCGCGCCTCTGCGACATGCGCGCCCGGATAGAGCAGTCCGCCTTCTTCCGCACGCACGAGGTACGCCCCGGGTCCCGGGTTCAAATACCCACTTTCCCATCTTTTTTGGAAAAGTTTTTTGGTTGTTAGCTTCAAGGTGGTAATGTGATTTCCCCTTTGCAGGTGATCGGATGCAGCATCTTCATGCTGTACGACGACAGGCAGGTGGGAGCCTGGCTCATCGACTTCGCCAAGACCGTGCCCGTCCCCGAGCACTGCACCCTGGACCACCGCACGCCGTGGACGCCGGGCAACCGCGAGGAGGGCTTCCTCTTCGGACTCGACAATCTCATTCAAGTGTTGGACGACGCTTAGAGGCCGAGCCGTGCCGAGTCGTGCCGAGCCGAGCAAAGACTGCCGCTAGTTACCCAAACAAAGACACAACCACTGTTGTCAACTTGTGCAAAGATTTGATTGCCAAATATGACTGCCAATTCTCTGTTCCTCTCATTTTTCTTCCTTTCTTGTTCTTTTGTTTTATTTTCAAATGTTTCTCTGAGCTGACAACATTGGACCCTACTTAGTTAAGTAAACCTGACAGCAGGTATTGCCGTTCTACTGTGTAGAATGTTATTTATATGTGATAAGTTTGTGAATGACAAACTTTCTTGTAGTGACTTACTTTAGGCCTTACCATGAAGCAATACATGAGTGCATATTGTATAGTCATTACACATAGCCGAGTGCAAATAATATTATTTATTCAGTATTGTTATAGATAAGTGCATCATTTTGTAAATATTCATCATAAAATATTTTTATTATGTGACTTAATATTTGTAACTGTTTTATACTATTTTAGATGAAGATGCCAAGCTGTCACCTTTTTCTTATTATATATCTCCAATGTGTATTATTTCTATTTTGTTTGGCACAACTGTAGAAAGTTGAGTTTCTGATCTACATGCTCTTCTTTTCCGTTTTATGATTGGTCAGAAATGTATAGAGGTAGAGAGACTGCTTTAGCTATGAAACTCATTTGAGGTTTAGTTGGACAGGTAGAACGGAAACTCAACTTCAGTCCTAACTCTTTCACAATATTCTGGACGTGGAATTCATATAGTCTAGCTGGAAGTGAATTGCTTTAAACAGTTTCTCCGTATGCTTCTCTCATTACAGTTGGAGAAATTTTCTCATTGCCTCTAAATATTTTTGGTTTAGTTTTCATTTATTTTATGTTACATATGTGAATCTGTGATAAGTGACTGCAATGGCATTGTTTTTGTTTTTTTTTTCTCTTTTCAATAAATCTGAACTGTAAAAGATTTTTTAAGAAAACAAGTTGGCTCTTTGCTTTCAAACCACGCCACTGCGTGGCGGAGTTCTTACCCTCGCCCTTTCATCTCATTGGTCTATAGACCGGTACCAGCACTGCTCGATTTCGTCTCGTCTTTGCCAAACGCCTGTTAGAGCCCGTAGGAGATTCATATTTTTTTCCATGTTTTAAAAGGTTTTTAAGGCCCGTAGGAGGGGATGCCTAGCGCCTATACGATCATGTGTGGTCTAGCCCTTAATGGTAATGGTAATGGTGGATGGCAGGGTAGGCAAGGCAACCCATCGAGCACCCAGGCCAGCGGGCTGCCTAAGCCCAGGGGGCTCGAGGGGGTTACGCACTGCCTCAAATCGCCGTCTCGAGTCGTACCAGCACGCAGTTGCCAATCGATTCCTTTTAATTTGGTTGAGTGGCGGGCCGGCGGGCCGGCCCTTAGGGGTCGTCGTTGACGGTCAAGTGTGAGCGGAATGCGTCACTCACGCAGCACCCTTCGCGCTTGGTGGTCGGTGTTCTTGGGGCCCATCCCCCCCCCCCCGTCGGCATGCCTCTGTCGCCGCGGTCCGCGCTCGGCGCCTACAAGAACCGCGTCGGCGTGGCCCACGTCCAGCTGAACAGTGTGGACAGCGTGCCGGTCAGCCAGCTGCCGGGCATGTTCGAGGCGGAACGCGGTGGCAGCCCAGTGAGCCTGAAGCGCCAGGACGACGGCGCCATTGCTCTGGCCGCCCCGATGCACCTGATCGTCCAGCCCGCCCAGCCCGCCGCGAGCGAGCACGGCGTCGACGCAGCGGACGCGGCCACGCAGTCGCCGTTCTTCGACGGCCTGCAGCCTCTCGTGTACATGCTGGCCCTCTGCGGCTTCGCCCCCATCAGCTGCAACCCACGTGCGCACATACTTGCAGGGTTACGTTCAAGTCCTGCTAGTCCTGCAAGAACCCCTCTGTTTTGGCAGTGCGGGTGTCCTTCGACGTGCGGAACTCCACGCTGCTGTACGCGCTGTGCGTGCAGGCCTTCGTGGTGTGGTCGTGCTACCTCGCCTTCGCGTGGCGGCTCGGCGTGCTGGAGAAGGTGACCCCGGACGAGATAGACGACGGCAACATCCTGGACAGGGCCGACTGGCAGAACAAGTACGTGGCCTTCATGGCCATGGTGCACACCATCTGCTGGACGGTGACGCCCTTTATGTGGCTGGAGAGCCCTCGCGCCCAGCACATGGACGCGCGCTGCCGGAAGTTCATGGTGAGCCCGAGTTCGAATCCCAGCACCGCGTGCTTTCTGAAAACGGGCCAGTGATTCTCTTGGCTTGTGCCTACGGCTGCCTGCGGCCCCACGGCAGCGGCACTTCGGCCACCTCCTGGACCCCAGCCGGACGCGGGCCGACTACCGCAACGCCTGGATTGCGGTGGTGCTGTGCGACTTGCTGCTGGGGGGCGTAGGCGTCTTGTGGTGGGCCAAGGTGGTGGAGACCTCGCTCAAGTTGGCGCACTACGGCGCGCACTTCTACACCAACGCCCTCATCAACCAGGTCGCCTCCCTGTTCTGGTTCGGCTGCCGGCGCATCCGCCACGTCGCCGCCGCCCTCGCCGACCAGCTCCAGAAGGTGGGCGTCGCTCTGTCTATGTCGCTCCCCCAGCGGCCCGCGGGGTGCCTCGCGAGTGCGAGAGAGACAGAGCGAAACGCTGCGCTTGGTATGGCTTGGCAGGAGCTCGACGGCGGCGTGCTGACGCCCGAGAGGGTGCACGAGTTCCAGTGCGGCTGGCAGCAGCTGTGCGACATGAACGTGGACCTGGTGCCCACGCCGCTCAGCCTCACCATCCTCGTCATCTTTCTCATCGTGCTCGTCACGTTCTACACGTACTCGGCCCTGGAGCAGCTCGGCACCAGCTGGAAGGTGAGAGCTGCGCGAGCCGCGGGTTCCAGGTTCGAAACCATCTTTCTCCTGCTTCTGACCCTTTTCTGAGGCGCCGCCGTGGGCCCCGTGTCGCAGGTCACCGCCGCCATCATGACGGTGAACGTGCCACACTTCGGGGCGCTCTTCCTGGTGTACAACTCGGCCAGCCGCTCCGCCGAGACGGTGCGTGCACAGTGCACTGCGGGCACTCGGTCATAGGTCATTCCCCAGCGCAGTGTTTTGATGTACACCTTGCCGTGTCTTCTTTGCCCGACAGATTCGCGACACTTTCATGCGGATACTGCAGAAGCCTCGGTGGCCGATAGACGACGAACCCAGAGAAACCGAGGTACGGTAAGAAAGAAACCCACCAACCCTGCCACTTTCACCTCATTTCTTTACGCAGCGTGAAGAATGCGGCGATAAGCCCGGCCAGCGGACTTGCTTTCATTTTCATTGCAGCTGCAGAAATTCCTCGAGGTTGTTCGGTGGAACAGTCCGGTCGTCCGCGTCGGCGGCCGTTTTCAATTAACGACGAGTTCTTTCAACGCCGTGAGTAATCGAGTTTCCACTGCTCGCAGCCTTGCGCAACGAGCTCGGATTGCTAATCCGCGGTGCCTTCCCCAGGTCATCGCCGCCATCACCACCTACGTCATCGTCATCCTGCAGCTGCAGCTCGGCCTGCCAAGTCATGAGGCGTGGGACGAGGGACCGACGACTCCCTCCGCGACGACCAGCACTTCGTAGATTCAGCCAGCTTTACAGTGTACCCAACCCAACCGGAAACCGGTCTGCCACACGCCATGGACCGTGGAACAGGGTGGAGACTGATCGAATGGTTCTGTCTTATATTTCCAGTCTAGAGCGCGAAAAACAGTGAAAAAAAAAACAGTAGTTTTTGAGTTATAGACTTGCTGAGGCTGGATAATTTTGACGAGAATCATGTAGGTTCGTCATTTGGCTTTTTATAGTGAATAAAAATGACCTTGAGATTGTTCGGAACAGCAACTAGGGGGTTGCGTTGCACTCAATTATGCTTGTCAGGAAACAGAAAATGTCCCTCACGTTGTCCATGAGTTTCGTCCAGTCGAATCTTTGCCGCCGCCTTCCCGCTGCACTGGCAACACCGGCTCGATCGACTATTGGCAGTCCGTCCTGCGAACTGCCAACAGCGTCCTGCGAACAGTGCGGACCGGCAAAAAGTGGAGGGGGAAAGGAAGCCATTGAACTTGACGGCCGCCGAACAAAAATCTTGCGAGCCAACGCTGCAGGCGGATAATATTTAACTCGCCGCGCGGAATTCAGGGTCAAGAGTCAATTATTGTTGTGACACCGTTGAGTAGGAAAAGGTAAGACGTGGTTAGTGACAGTTTTAATGGTGGTGCTATGAAGAAAGCGGCTGCAAGCCCGTTCCAAGCGGACCAGTCAACTGTGGAAGTGAAGATGGAGGCCGACTAATCTCTAGTTGTTTTCCAGCCCAAAAGACTAAAGTTTTCTTATTTTGTGATGTGTTGAAAAGTATATCAGTTCAGTGTCCAGTCACGGAAGATTCCGTTTTCCCGCGAGTTGAGTTCGTTGTGCTCCGTTGAATCATGTTTCCCTTCGCGTTCGCTACTAGTGTTGTGTTAGTGTTGCCTTTCGGCGAGGGCGTGATGGTGTCTCGGTACCCGTTGCGCCTATTGCGCTGGGTCACAGGTAAGACTCCGATTACGGAAGCTTATTAATTTATATGGCAAAGACACCTTGCATTCAAGTGGGGTCGAAACACTTGCTGTGAAATGCCCGTGCGATCGCTCTCGAGCTCGCGTCCAAACCGCTTCTAGGTTAAGGTGGCCTGAGGCTATGGGGACAGCTGCTTGCGGTGAAAATGATCCATTGGTCCGCCGCGGCACCGCAGCCGGTCCCCGTGTCCCACACTCTGTGCCCAAACATGCGTCTTATCCACAGTTTCAATTATGCTAATAGGTGCAGCAGGCCCTTTCATGCTTGTAGCTAAAGGTAGGGTTGACAAGGTCAAGTTTGAGACTATTTTGTTTCTTTGGTTGTTTACTTTTGGTTCAAATCATTTAAGATGTCAGCTCTGTTGTAAGACATAGAGGTATTTGACTTCGGTCGTCAGTTTGCAAAACCAAAGTCATTTGTCAATCATGTGACATTCTGCTGCTTTCATGTAGAGGTTATGTTTGTGTTGAGGTGAACTGTGGTTAAGTTGCATTTTTATGGAAGTTTTCATTTTCAAAACATTACTACTCTTCGATGTTTTGAGGGCCTTTTAAATTTAAAATGGATTCCTAATGCCTATCTCCGCTTTTGACTTACAACAATTTTGTGTTTTTCTTTATTTTATTTGAGCAAACGAGAACTGCAAATCAAAATGGAAACTACTTTGTATTTCCACCCATTTTAATATTAATTCCATGGATAGCATATTTCTTCTCTAAAAATTACTATCTTTGTTTGTGATTGGACTTAAAAAATTTATATGTTGAGAGCAAGGCTTTGGCTAGTTTGGTGTGTGAAACAGTGTGTAAGGAAGGTTATTTTGCATCATAGTTTATATTTGTATCAAAGTTTTATGCTCCAACATTTTTTATGTGCTAGTGTTAGTTTCATAATATTATGTAACAAGGAACTTAAGTTAAAGCATTAGTTGACTGAGATTACAGAGTAATTTATATTTGAGTACTATTGAATAAGAAAGTATGTGAGGGTATAAATTGAGCTCTCAGCACTTTGCTGACCTCATTTAGTCCCATTCCCTGATTGTGTTTCAACATGTTGTTTGTGCTTGCAGGTATTGCCCACTCAACTGATGGATTCGGAGAACTCTTTGGATGGGGTGGATGGAGAGCTGAATGCAGGAAGCAGAGGTTACGCATCATCTGATGAAGAGAAGATCCTCAATTATGACACTAAAGCACAGAAAGCCCCGCAAAGTCCGCCAGACAGCCCACCCGGCAGCCCACCTGGCAGCCCTGGACAAGATTCCACTCTTAACTCGCACAGCTCTGGAAGTCCTCAAAGAAATTCACCACCCAGTAGTCCCTCAGAGATGAGAAGATCGGAATCCAAAAGCCCTAGTCCACAAAGGCGCTCACCTGTAGGCAGTCCTTCAAGAGGCTCTCCATCTGGCAGTCCCTCTAGGCGTTCACCTTCGGGAAGCCCCTCCAGGGGGTCATTGTCGAGGAGTCCTACCAGGCGCTCACCATCTGGCAGTCCTTCAAGAGACTCTCCCTCAAAAACACCTCCTGGGAGCCCCAAATATCCTTTGACCAAGAAACCATCGAGTCCTGGCAGCCCTAGGAGTGAAGATGCACCCACACGCAGCTCCCCTTCTCATCAGTCATCCAAATTCAAGCAGTCCCCTTCTCTGCAGATGCATGACAATAGACAAGAGAGGGGAAGTTATTCGCGGCGCTCTCATGGAAAGAAGTCGAAGCGCAGAACGGATGGTAACGCATCTGATGGCAGTGATGATGGCCGAAGCAATATTTCATCTTCTTCATCGTATAGTGATGCTGCTGAAGCTAAAAAGAATTCTGCTCACTTAGAAAATGGTGACAAGTCAGAAAGAGGTAAATTTGAGCCACACAAGGCTGACGATCTATCAGATGTGTCAGATCTTGACAGTGCTGCTGGGGATGGAAGTTTAGACTCACTCTCTGATGACGAAGCTTCCCGCAGAAAGAAAACCAAGGATGAGGTAAAAAAGGCACCCTCTCCTATAACACATACCTCAAGTATTCGAAAAGATATTGTGTCCCATTCTGATGAGATGGAGCAGTTGGACTTTGAAGCTGAAGAGCCTCAGGCTAAAGAAGATAAAGAGGATGGTGAATGTCCAGAGGCTGTTCGACGGCCAGAAAGTAGTGCAGCTAAGAGTGAGGCAGACGATGGGGAAGTTAAAAATGACGAGGTGGAAGAAGGAGAAATCACAGATGAAGATGAAAACCGTCCTGAAGAAACAGAGCCCCGACCAATTTGCAGATTCTACAATCGTGGTCAGTGCACATGGGGGTCAAGTTGTCGTTTCCTCCACCCAGGTGTTACAGACAAGGGCAACTATACAATGTTTGACATGGTACGCCCCCTTGTTCCCACTAATGGACCTCCCATGTATGGACCTGGGCCTATGGTGGACTACAGAGCTCCTTTAGAACGACCAATGATGGCTCCTGTTGGACCAATGTACTCTGCTCGTAAAGAAGAGGCTCCTGCATTGGAATCTGCATGGGAGCGAGGACTTAGAACCGCTAAAGAAATGATGCGAAAGGCATCGAAAAGGAAAGAAACAGACATGGACTTTGAAGAGAAGAAAATGAACTTGAGCTTAGGTCAAGATGAATTGGACAAAGAAAATGATTACTACACTCGGCCAGCCAGCCCTGCTCTTGATGAAGATTTAGAGCGTTGGAGGTACGACTATTTTTCTTATCCTGTCGGGTTTTTCCTTTGCTCCCTAGACTGTTATTTAATGCTATGAATGTGTTTCCTTTGTTGCAGTGAGAAAGATCCTGAAAGTAAGCATCATCGAATGGTGGTGTCAGACAGATATGAAATGGATCCTTACTATGGGGTAAGTTTTTTTCAAAGTTCAGTCTCTAAGTAACTTTGGATACTTCCATTGACCTACTTTTAATCACTTTATTTCATGTCTTTAGCATCACAGAGAAGGGCGGGAGCGATGGGCCCGTGGCCAATACGATGATGCTCGCCCTGGTTATCCAAGAGAGCACGTGTATGACAGTCGCCATCCAGGATCACATCATGATTCTCATGCTGCGTACAGGGCTCACATTCATCCATCCGCCCATCATGAAGCGTCGTACTATCCAGATAAATATGAAAGGAAAAAGAAATCTCACACAGTAAGAGAAGTTATTGTTCAACACACTCGCAAATCATCTCGAGCAGAGGAAAAGTAAGGACAACTGTCATCATTTGGAGATAAGTGTGTTTTAGTTGAGTGAAATTAATTAATTTTCCATGTTTGTGTGAAGGTCCAGCTCAGCTCCTCACAGAGGAGGACGTGGTGATGAGTGGGCAGATCCGTGGATGAGGTCCAAATCTCCCACCAGTAACCGAAAATCTAGGCCAACAAGAAGGCAGTCATATTCATCAGGTTCATCCTACTCATCTTCCAGGTAACTTGAATTAATATTTTTAATAATTGACGTCTAAGGCTCTGTATGTGGCTTGAATGTGATCTAATGAAAAATCGTTCTTTTCCATTTCCTGTATTCCTTACCTTGCCTAGGTCTTCTAGGTCATCCTACTCTTCTTACTATTCCCGCTCCGGTTCTAGATCTCGATCGCGGTCTCGCTCCAAGTCTCGCTCTGCCTCCGGCTCTCGCTCTCGCTCCCGCTCACCTCCCCATCCTCCTCCATCCCTTAGGCGCACAGGTGCAGGGCGTGGTGGCGGTGGCGGCGCCAGAGGCAGCGGCGGCAGCCCCGGCCAGGCCCGGCGCGACCAGCGACGCCCAGCCCCAGACCCTAGAGCCAGCAGAGGTACAGTGCAATGCTGCAATGCAGCAATACAGCAACGCAGCAACGCTGTGTTTGGATTGGATTTTGTGTGTCATTTGTGTAATCATAATTGTGTTTGGTAGGATCTAGAGCTGCAGCATCAACTCCTGACCCAGAGAAGCGTCCTGCAGCAGGATCTCGTAAACCTAGACCACCCTCACCTGGTGGGGCTCGTAAACCTGGTGCCAACTCAGGCTCAACTGCTGGGTATGTTCAAGTTTTCTAATCGCTTGCGTTAAATATATTGAACTTTCTCTTAAAATTGCTGAGTTTATTTTGGTTGGATGTGTTTAGTCCTGGCCGCTTAGCCGGCAAAGTGCGGCATTCCAAGTCATCTCGCTCGTCGTCATCAGATTCGAGTGGTTCAAGCAGTGATAGTTCAGAAACAAGTTTGAGTTCATCTTCAAGCAGCCGTGACCCAACTCCTCCACGTATGTTCATTAACTAGCTGTGCAACAGTGTTTATTCTTCTCTAGTAGGTCCTCAAAATGTATGTTAAAATCTGTTTTTATTTTACAGCCAAACCTAAAAAAATTCAGATGGATGAACGTCTTATGGCCCAGTCAACCAAGATTAAGGCTATGGATGCATTGAAGGTGACTTATTTTGCTTATTTTTTTGACAGCAATCTGAGTTCTGCAACCCATCCTTCCTCTCCTATTATAATGTTTTGGTTTTTTTTCTTTTTTCAGCTTTCCGGTCAAAAGCAACAGATCAAACTGACTCTTAAAACCCCAGGGTCTGGTCCTGCAGGAGTGCCAGATGATCCAAGAAGGAGTAAGTCATCTATTTTTGTGATTATGGTTTGCTCTATGAATTATGCTGTAACCTTTGACTTTCTTTTAGGTTCTGTGGTTGCTGGGAAGAAGAGAACAGCTGAAACACCACCACCGCCAGAAACAGCCAAAGTAAGTTTTTTTTCCTTTTTTTTCATTTATTTTATGTGCACGTTAAGTCATTTCTCCCTACATCCAATTTTAATGCAATTTTTTTTGTGTGTGTGTGTATGTACAGTCAACTGCTGCTGCTAAGCCTCCTGTGAAGAAAACTGCAGCTAGAAGAGAGGAACTTCTGAAGCAACTGAAAGCTGTTGAAGATGCTATTGCTCGGAAGCGCTCAAAAATTACATAGTATGCTGAATTGTTTGAGACAACAAGCTGAAGTATATTTCTGCTTGCACATATTGTACAGGTTACATAGTTTTATGAATGAATTTTGATGGTTCTGATCAATGAAATATATTGTAAAGTTGAGGCAAAAAACTCATGTATGTCCTCATGTCACCTTTCTGTTTGCATAAATAATATGCATATTTGTTTTGAATGATTTTACCATTCAATTTTATTTGATAAGTCACATGATAACTAGCTTCAATTAAGTTAGTCAATCATTCTGGAGAAGTTACAAAGAAATAGCTTTTCTTTTCAGTCCAAATTATGTTCCACATCTGATTGACATTGACCCTCCCATGACTGTTTTCCCATTTCTAAATTGTTGTTTTAATGTTTTCCCCGTCAAATAAGTTCATTACCAAAAATTGATTATGGCATTTGGCCCTGATGTATACTTTAATTTGTGGATTCAATTGTGTGAAGTGTGTTCCTATGTCATTTTAGGAGAATACCAACATTTGTGTAATTAGCTTTCCTCTAGTACATGCAACTCTACTGAGGAATTATAAGTGATATTACTGATGTATTTGTATGCTGTCTTTACTGTGAGTATAGAATGCATGAGTCAGAAGTTGTTTTTTTTTTTAAATTGTAGGATGGTATGGATGCTGGTTACTTGCACATTTTCTCAGATTGCATAATAATATCTGTTTACTCTTTGTCATTTCATTGTAAAATATACCTGCAGTTGTCCTACTTACACATAAATGTCGTTCAAATCATGTAATTGTTAAAAACATGAGTAGCTGGTATTATTGTTTCCAGATGTTTCTATTCTTGATCATCAGTAACCTTAGCAGTACTTACTTGTGCTTCCTGTAGACTGTTATTATGTGCTATTATATTTTTACTCATTTATATTTTCTCAGTGATCTACTTTTAGTTAATCTTGAGCATTTTGTTGTTCATGCTTTCTATTTAAATATTTTGTATGCTGTGTATGTAGCAAGATTAAACTATTATTGGCATCCCCATTAAATAATGTTTTGGATTACAATTTTCTGTGAGTTATCACTGCCAAAGAAGCCCTGTCCTCGTCCCCCCTTGTTTTTTTCCCCTTGGATGTTCCCCAATCTTATTTTTATTAAGGGGTGTGGTCGAGGTCACAACCGAACTAACAATTATCACATAGGTCAAAGTGCTCGAAGTGTAAGTCGAAGGAAGACATTTTCAGACTCTTGAAAAGTAGAGTGACAGATATTGTTGCGATGAGTAACTTGTGAAGAGTAAGGGTGTAAAGAGATATGTACCTTTTATTGGAAATAAAATTTCACAACACAGTCATATCTGCCATTTTTTAATATTCCCTGCACCTAATGTTGCCACCTGAAATAGCGAAACATTAATAGGGTAAAAATGAGTAATAAATCCAGTTTGAAGAAGAAAATTGAAAAATGAAGGAAACTTACAGTCTGAGTACTTTGTCTTTTCCCCCTGAAGCAACTCTCATGCCATCTGGAGCCCAGTCCACAGCGTAAACTTCATCAGCATGCCCAGGGAGATCTAGTTCCAGTCTGTGTGTCTTCATACTCCATACTGAGAGGAGAAGAAAGAGGTGAATCACTTTCATGCACTGACCTCGCAGCAAATGCTAAAGCAAACTTTGTCTTGTACTACCTTTGAGAGTGGAATCAGCACTGCCACTGACGAGCAAGCGCGAGTCTGGCGACCATCCTACCATGTAGACAGCCTGCACGTGACCTCGGAACGTTGCAATAAATCTATACAGACACGTGATAAAAATTAAACATGCAGCACAGAATGATAAATAAAACATTAATGCCAAAATTGAAAACTTTAAAGAGCAACTCACTTTCCGGTCTTTCCGTCCCATAACTTGACAGATTTGTCAAATGAAGCAGATGCAGCGTATCTTGCATCAGGTGAAAATTGCACAGAGTTGATTAACTGCTGGTGACCGGTCATTCGAGCTGCAGTAAAGGAAAAATAGTAAGAAAGAGTTTGAAAAAAAAATGATGACCATCAAAAAAATCCAAGATGGCCTGTGTTTATTTTAACTCACCAACAGCTTTCTTCTCTTTCTCAGGACTCCACAGAAACAAGGTGAAGTCATCTGAGCCACTAATCAATCGTTCACCATCCTCTTTTACAACATTCTTATAGCTCTGCTCAGCATCCCTTTGCAAAGCGGCTTCTGAAAAGGCACACGCAAAGATGGTTGGAATAATGCAATGCATGAATTCAAAAACAAGACAGAAGAAAAAAAACATCACTTACTGTCTTTAGTCACTCCATGAGGATTGATAATAGGATCAAATGGGCCTATCCTTAGAACATAATCACAGTTAACAGCTAATGTATTAACCCAATGAGCATGACCTTCCAAAGTTCGGCACATGACACCCTAAAAAAGAAATTTTAATATATTAGGTACAATATTCTGCCAAGAAAAATTAAAATGTACTAATGTATGAGGGGCTTCAACTCACATCCTCAGCTCGCCAAACTTTGATTGTTCGATCCTGTGATGCCGAGTAAATCAATCCTGCACCACCCCAAACAACACAGGTGACACTTTTGGTGTGTCCTGTTAGAATCCGAACTGTTTGACCCAGAACAGTGTCCCAAATGCGAATGTCACCATCCTTTGATGAACTGGCTAGATATCTACAATCAGGATTTCTAAACAAAACAAAAATAATTCTTAATATTTAAGAAAGAGCAAACAATTACAAACAAAAGTAACAAACTTGAAATATACTGCAAATTTACCTGTGGTAAGGTTCCCAACTCAAGGAAGTAACCCACTGTTTGTGTCCAGACAATGTGCGGCCGACTTGCTTTCCAGACTCAGCATCCCAGATAATAATGTGGCCATGTTTACAAGCAGAAGCAAGGCGCGAAGAGTCCGGAGCCCATGCTATGCACAGAACCCAATGTCTGTGACCTGATTTTATAAGAGAAAAAGTTCATTTAAAATTTTAAATTAAATTACAAAGGAAAAGCTTGAAACAAAAATTGAGGAGCAAGTTAAACTGAGAAAAAGCTATCATACCTGTGCATGTGACATGAGGTGTTTGGGTTGTAATGTCCCACATGCGGACAGTCGTATCACCAGAACCACTGGCAAGAAGTTTTCCATTTGGGCTAAAACGAACTGATATCACAGCTTCAGCATGTCCAGGCATGGAGCTGTCAATTTAAAAAAATTCAAGATTACATGTAGAAAAGCCAAAACTTTTGAAACAAGATAAGACAAGACACAATTATTTTTTTTAGAAAAAGGAATATTTTTTGAAATGCTAGTTACCTAGTACATCTTGTCACTGGCCGTACTCTAAATACAGCCTGTTGTTGATAAATAATGTCTATAACTTCTTCTGTGTTTAAGGTGTCTTTGTCAAGAGCATTTTCCAAAGAAGCCGTAATTTCTCTCTCTTTCACGAGAAAAATATATGGCATATTCTCCTCCTGTCAAAGAAAAATATAGTTTAAGCGTGAAAGTCTCCCGGAATGGATATTAGCAAGCCAATGAGATGGTACCTGTTGTAGAAGAGCATTGCAGATCAATTGCAATTTGTCACGTGTTATATTCAATGGAAGGTCAAGTAAATTTCCGATAGCTTCTCCTGCCTCTGACATAAACCGACAGAGAACAGTCTTGTTGCTATCCACGTCCATTGCAGCGTCTTCCATTCTGCACACAAAGAAGAAGCATGCGGTAACAACACAAGAGGAAACTAGTTCCACAGTACAGAGATGGTAATAAGAAAAGGGAAAAAGACGGAGTTGACCAATTTCAAACACATTGAAATAAAAAGACATTAAAATATAACAGACTGTGATACCTTGTCACTTAAGGGCAACTTTCGGCCGACCGAACAAACTGATGCTGGTGGGCTTCCCCGATGCAGAGCACTTGCTTCGCGGCGATGGCGTGAGTCTAGTTCACCGCGAGGACGGGGCACTCACGTAACTCTGCAAATGACAACAAACTCCTGGAGGTTAGAATGCCCATGGGATCGCTCTTACAACGTGAGCCGAGCGCCCCCTCGCCCCCTCCCTCCCCCCTGCAAGCGTCGAAGAGGTTTCTTGTCCGGCCGCTAGGTGGCACTACTGCCTGCCCAAGGCTTCGCGTACGCGAGACGCGAGGGCGGAGCGGCGCGAGGCGCCGCGGCGCGATAGCATGGCGCTTATGAATGGAATGGAATTGACACGATTCAATGATTCGCCACCGAGGTCAACTGCGCTCACAGAGACGAAACACTTCACCAGTGACCACGACCGCAGACTGACAAATCTCTCTCCGACGCGGACACGATCGCGGAGTCCCCCAAAACCGCACGAAACTCGCAGTGTGCCGAACTAAAATCCGTTGTCTTCCACATTCCGCCAATGAGTTCTGTTTGCAGCGTCTCCGAGGATGAGTGAGATGTCGAGCCAGGCCTACCGCCACACTGTGGACAAGGTCGGAGGTCGGACCACGGACAGCCCAGCGCGCATCATGGCGCGCATGGTCGGCGCCTGGGTAGCCGGGAATGCACCGCGCCCGACCGCGGCAGAGGCGTGGCGGTGTGGCGGAGGCGCGGCTGTTTCCAGGAAGGCTGGAGGTTGTCACCCTCTCGCGGTGTCATTCCCTTCCCCGCGGCCCAGGCAGCGCGGCCCAGGCAGCGCGGTACAGTGCTGCTCCCAGGCGGGGGGTGGCGGAACCTCGGCGGTGCGGGCGGTGCGGGCCATGCGCCCTGGGGCCCGCGAGGGGGTTGGATTCGCCCCGTTCGCCCTGCTGCTCTGCCTGGCTCTGCCTGCCCGTGCCGGCACCATGGCTGCCGGGCTGCCAGGCCGCCAGCTCGGAGCGACTCTGGCGGGGTGGGCCACGGCAGTGAGTGCTGGGCACAGGGCGGAGCGGCGCGGCGTGGCGGGGCGTAGCGCGTAGCGAGCGCCAGAGCGCCAGGGGGTGGCTTGGGTCTGCCTGCCTTGCCGTCGACGGCCTGCGACGGCCACCGCGGCCATCGCGTTGTCGCGTCGAGCCTTGCGTCGAGCCTTGCGTCGAGCCCCCGCGGGGGATGTCACCAGGCTCGGGGACTCGGCGGCCAGCAGCGAGGACCTCAGCGAGGACCTCAGCGAGGACTCGCCAGTGACGCGGCCCCCGGCCACCTTGCGGTGCCTTGCGGCCACCGGGCTGCTCCCGGCCCCAGCATGACACCCCGGCCACGGGCCGGGGCACCGACGCCGGCCCCGGCAGCACAACGGGTAGGTTCCACGATGACCCGTGAGGTTGCCACTCCTTGTCAACCCGCTGTCACTCCCGCCACTCCTCTCGGCGCCCCGCGACGCCACGCGACGCCCCGCGACGCCATGCGACGCCATGCGTGGCGCGGACACCGCCTTGCCGCCTCGCCGCCGCCGCTGCCAAGCACGCTGCTCAAGAGGATCGATTTTAACGCAGTGTACGGCCCCAGCCCGCCGACAGGGCCGACAGGCGTACCCTGCCCGGCGGGCTCCCTGGCGATCCTGACGGGCTTCGAAACAGCTGACAACCTGGCCTGCTGGTCTGCCCGCCTGCCGGTCTGCCGGTCTGGTCTGCGAATGCATGCGGAACGATGCGGAGCGATGCGGAGGGAGGAAAGAGGACGGGGCGACCCTCGGCTACGCTAGGCCGCTAGGCGGCCCTCGAGCCCGAGAGTGAGGGACGGATGAACGGGGCACAGCGCGGCGCAGCGAACTCTCGCTCTCCAGCTGCTCTTGCCGCTCTTGCCGCTCTTGCCGCTCTTGCCGCTCTTGCTGCGCTTGCTGCGCTTGCTGCTTGCGCCCCCGCTAGCCCGCTAGCGGGGCTCTGCCAACTTAAGGGCGTAGGAGCGGGTGGCTACTCTGAGAATGGTAGCATCCGAGAGCGTTTTCGGGTGCATCCGCAGTCGTCTGAGGCCGGGCCCCCGATGCCCCGTAGACCTGGTTCGCAGACAATGCACCCTCCTCGGCCGGCTGTTTATGGCCGGCCTGCCGGAGTGCGGGTGAATGACACCCCGGCACGGGGCTCGGCCTGGGCCGCACGGAGCAGATCGCCAGCTTTTCGTGAGCTCGGGGCCGGTCTTCAACTCCAAGTCCAAGTTTCAGGTCAAAATCAAAAGTTTTGACCAAATTTGACAAAATATTTTTTGCGAAGTACTGATTATTTCTATGTAGCTGAAAAAGTTGTTTTCGTTGCTCTGTTAAAAGTGGCCGCAGAAACTTAATTTTTAGATGGATAGATCAAAAATTTCATCCCGAGTGCAATGGTGAACATCCCATGAGTGTCAAACGACGCGTTAAAAAAATTTAGCTTTCAGGTAGCGAAGGGACCGCCTCCCTTTTGTGTGGAGAGGCCTGCTTCACAATGGGCTGCGCCGAGGCGACGATGATGACAGGCTGATTTATTACCCCCAGGCCCAAAATACAAATTTTCAAACGAGCCTTTTCGCGTTTTTGGAACATGCGGCAGTGGATTCGTCGTTGAAAGCTGGGTCTAATGGTGTTTGAATTTTTGTTCTACGATAATTTCTACCAAAATCGCGACGAAAATTGGCCAAAACTGGTCGGGACCCGGTGCCGCCTGCCTTGCAGACGGATCCTCGACGGCTCCCCTATTGTCCGCCCGGCGCGTCACCCCGGACCCCGACTACCTGCCTCGAGCTCCGCTGTGCGACAGAAACAACACATCGGCCGAAGCAGCCTGTCTCTCTCTACTGGTGCAGGACCTTCAAATCTGAGTGATTTTCTAGACCACACGACGCGAGTACCACACCTCCTAGAGAAATGGAAAAAACTTGCCCGTGAAGAGAAAGGCATGGTCTAGGGGATGTGATGGTCCATTTGTTCGCCCTTTCATTAGATTCCGCTCCGGAGCTTCCTGAAAATCACTCATTTTCAAGGCGTTCCAGTTACGTTCCTAGACGTTAGGGCGCAAATTGGAGTAGACCATCGCCTGCATACAGTCCCTGCCAACAAGTGTGCAAAGTTTCAAGACGCTGCGACCCTTGATTTCCCCGTCGTGTGGTCTGGAAAATGTCAAAAACCGCCAAAATTTCGAACTTTGGGGCGTCGCGACGCCGAAACTATGCGTCGCCGGGCAAAACGGTTTGACATGGTGCCTTACCACATCGATCACTATCAATTGGCGAAAAAAAATTTTGCGCTCCTACGGCCTTAATGAGGGAGTAACTTGAGTGGCGGCCGTAACCGGCAGTAACAGTGGCGTGCACGGCGCGGGGGCGTTACTCTCGCCGAGCCGCACGCCATTCCGAACGGCGCCGTCGTCGCGCTGTCTCTCTCGCACCCCTCCGGGACGCCGCACGAGTGAGAGAGAGACAGCGACGTGTTCCGGTCTGCAGCGTGCGCGGAAGCGAGAAGGACACGCGGCCGAACGTGCCGAACGACTCCGAGGGTTCGCTTCGTCGCTCTGTCTCTCTCGCACGCCTACGGGACGCTCCATGAGTGCGACAGAGACACAGCGACGGAACTCGGCACCGGCAGATCCCCGGAACCACGCTTCGCGTGCGCGTTCTTCCCACGTTTTTTCCACGCGGTGCACACGGCACGCGGTCGGCCGAGACGACATCAAAAAGCGAAACGTGCTCGCGTGCGTGAGGCGCGGCTTTTCGCGCGGTGGGTGTGAGGACGGCGCGGCGAGGACGGCGAGGACGGCGAGGACGGCGAGGACGGCGAGGACGGCGAGGACGGCGAGGACGGCGAGGACGGCGAGGACGGCGAGGGAGGACGGCGTGTTTACCCATCGCGGCGTTTGATGCCGCCGCCTGCCGGGCGGGCCGGGCCGGCTAGGCCGGCAGCACGGCCGGGGGCCCAGAAGGGGCTCCAAAGGAGGCTCCAAAGGGGGGTCACTCCGCCAGCACCACTCCGACGCTCCCAGCGCGACGGCGTGGCGGCGTGGCTCATTTTGGCGCTAAATTTATATTATTCATGAGCTGGGCGCAGTAAATTCCCCCCGTTAGGGGATGCAGCCTTCTGCGAACCTCCTCGGACGGGCGCGCGCCGCTGTAGTCGCTCTTGCTGCTTTTGCCACGTCCTTCCCTGCTTTAAACACGCACTTTGGGCGTCCGGAAGTAGGCAACCCGACGCGCCATCCATTGCCTGAGCCGCCCCTTGCACATAAACAAACCCGGGCGGAAAAAAAAAGACTCGAGAAAGCAAACTAATGCAACTCGCTTCACTATTCCCGTCCGAGTTTCTTCCCCAACCCTGATTGGTCAGGCGCGCGGGCGAGGCCGTGAGGCTGACACATCCGGCCCGGCTGATAAACAAACGCCTCTATGTAGTAATTATGCATGATCGTGATCTCGCTTTCCCAGGTTTTGGTGCGCGTCGCTTCTCGTGCGGAACGCCGTGGTCCAGCGAGCAGGCTGATGTCTCTCTCTCTCTCTCTCTCTCCGCATGGGCAGCCCCGCGAGTGCGAGAGAGACAGACAGGGGCCCGCTGGGCACCAGACCGGTCCAGTGGCTAATCAGATTGCAATGGTTCTATGTTCAAGGTCGCCAGGAACTGCGTACTGTATTACTCTGATTCTAATTCGCTTGCCTCTGTCCTCCAGGAGACGCGCCGTCGGCACGACCTTCGCCAGTGAACGGGCCACCCAAACCAGACCGTAAGTCATCAGCGAAACGGGCTGACCCGAGAAAATGAGAAGACAAGAAAGGAGTGGGGAAATGAAACTTTTTTCATATTTTTTTTTTCGTCGCCTTGTCGTCGGGCCGAGTTGGGATTGGCCGCACCTAGGGCCGTAATGGCGATGGGGACGCAGATGAAACGCTGGCAACGCCGGCGGTGAAAAATGGGGCACTTCCTTGCGAGTCCTGCGTGTCCTGCCAGTCCTGCCAGTCCCGCGGGCTGGGCCGGCCGGCCAGGCACAGGCACAGGCATGCTGTCCTAATCCCGGACCCTGGACCCGCCCCGCCGAGGGCCGAGCCAGGCCGCGCTGAGGGCGCAGGGCCAAAGCAACGGGGTGAGCGGGGCGCTTCAAGTAAGCCCGGACGGCTCGGCCTCCCTCGGCCCTCCGAAAGCGCGGAAAGCCAGCGCACCGGCAGGCCGGGGGCAGGCAGGCTGGCTATCAGGGACTTGCCACGTCCACTGTCGTCGCGTCGCCGAGAAAACGGAGAGAGAGAGAAAGAGAAAAAATGGCAGATGTGGCGGGGCCGTGATAAATATCCCTTCGGCACGGGAGCTGCCACCCTGGCGCCCTGCTCTGTCTCTCTCGCGCTCACGGGGCGGCCCGCTGGCCCGCAGGGGTGCGAGAGAGACAGAGCGACGCCAGTAAAGTCGCTGGGGCTCAATGGGCCGGGCGGCCGGGCCCCTGGCTGGTGCTGCCGCGCTGCCGGGTCATTAGGGACCCTCAAAAGAGCGTGCCTCTCTCTCGCACCCACGCGGCCGGCCCGCGGGTGCGAGAGAGACAGCCGTACTCGGCAGGGCTCGGCAGGGCTCGGCATCAGCCCCCTGATCCCCGCGGCGCGCGCGGCCCGCGGCAAAGTCATTCCTTTGATAAGTTTATTGTTGCAAATTGATTGGCCGCCCCGCCCCAAACTCCCAACAAACTCCCCCGCTCACAGTGTAGCAAACCCGAAACCGGCCGATGTCGCGTATGCTGTCGCGCTTTTTTTTCGCTTTTTTTCCCCCGCCGCCGGCTCTGTAATGTATTCATGAGCGGATTGAGCCTGTTTGGGCGCCAATGAAGCGGCGCGGTGACGCTCCTGGAATCGGAGTGCGCACGGTTTGTCGCCTACACCGCTAACCGCTGTGCGGTTGGCTGCAGCGGGTCTCGGCGTACACGGCCAGAAATTCAGCCCAAAGTCTTTATACTCACGTCAGGAAGGTCTCGAAACGCCACCCGCATACATGAATGGGACGTTCACGTCGTCGTGCAGGTACACTCGCAGACAAGGTCAGTCACCGCCTTACGGCATCGGTCCCCGCGGGGCCAATGCTTCCGAGGCGCGCTGTGCGAGGCCGGGTTACACCGTCAGCTAAAGGGACTCCTTGCTTTTCGTTGCAGGATGTGGTCTCCGCTGCACCCGGCCCGGCCATGACGGGGGTCGACCAGCCCAGCCTACGGCGTGCCAACATGCTCTGCTGCGGCAGAAAGAAGGTGAGTCGTCAATTTCGTTTTAACAGTCTTTAGGGTGTGGGCACGCGCCTGTGTGTGTGCACGAGTGCTCGTGCGTGTGTGCGCGCCACTTTGGCCAGTCAAAAGGGAAGCCAGTGGGGTGGGGGATGACGCCGGCTTCGTCCTCCCCATCCCTCTTTCCCTTTGCTATCAAAGTAAGAACCCCGCCAGAGAAGGAGAGCGTAGCCCAGCGTAGCGAGCGGCGGGGAGAGAAGCAACGCCAGGTTACGTGCGTGGTTCTTGTTCTTCCATTGATTTCTTCCAGTGGAGGGCACCCCGCGGCTGGGGAGGGGTGGGGGTGTCGCGATTGCCACCTCGTTCTGCGCATACCCACGCACTCCCTGCCATCCCCGCACAGTGGGCTAGAAGACCGGTGGAGGCGGTCAAAGCCCCGGACGCGTTTTGTGCTCCAGAGTCGCTGAAAAGGACTCAAATCGAACGTGTCACCCCACTGGTGGATTTCTCGCTCGGAGAGCAATCCATTGGTGGGGTCACACGTTCGGTTCGATTCCCATTTAGCGACTCTGGAGCTCAAAACTCGTCGATTATACTTCCACCTTTCTCTGTCGGGGGTACGGGTACGGCACTGGAAAAGTCTGGCCATTTGTTTCCCCCGGAATGCCCGAGGGACATCAAGCTAAGCAGGAGGCCCCTGAACGCCCCGCCGGCCCGCCGGCCGACACTCGGTGATGGATTGCGAACGCGACTTCGCCTTGGACTCTACAACATCGCGGCCTTCGAGTCTCTGCCTCTCATTGAACACCCCACGAGACGATTCCGTAAAGCATCGTTGCACCAACCATCCTTTTCCAGTGTACAGTCGTGAAGCGCGTGTCCACCTTTCGATTTCGACGCCCGAAGGTGATGGATGGTGCCTACCCTTCGGGAAGCTGCTCCTTAGGTCCGGACCTCCCGCACCCTGGCTGCTGTTCGTTCTGTTCGCGTGCCCGCGTCGCTCCGTCTCTCTCGCGCCCCGGCGGAGCGCTACGAGGGCGAGAGAGAGACAGAGACACTACCCCCAATTACCGTAACGACCCTCGCTACCGGCGCGCTCCGCCCGCTTATTAAATCGAAACGAGTGTGTCTTCTTACACGGCACGGCTATTTTAATGGGGTACGAAGCTGCTGCTGCTCCACTGCAAGGCGCCGAGCGGCTCCACGCCGCGCAGGCCTGTCGGCCGGGAGGCCTATTGGACGGTCGGCGGGCGCTCGGGCGCACGCGGCACTGTAAGCCGGCAGGCAGCGCAACTCCACGCTCGTCGCACAGTGGGCCAGAAGACCGGCGCAGGCGGCCGATACTCTGACGCGGTTTGAGCTCCAGAGTCGCTAAACAGGACTTGAACCGAACGTGTGACCCCACCAATGGATTGCTCTCCGAGGAATTCATTGGTGGGGGTCACACGTTATTCGGCTCGAGTCCTGCTTAGCGACCCTGGAGCTCCAAACGCGTCTAGAGTTTTGGCCGGCGGTGCTGGTCTTCTGGCCCACTGCCGCGTCTCTCCTCGAGGGAGCCTCACAGGGAACGCGTTGTGATTCGACGGTTCGACTAAAGCCCCCCGAGTTGTCGCCGCTCTCCCTGCGAGGCTGTGTGAAACAGTGCACGCCCGTCGGCGCGCAGCGCGCAGGGGGTGGCTGGGGAGGATGGGCAAATATTACAGTGGCCTGGAAAGGCGGGCACAGACCCCAGGCAGCCCCAGCAGCAGCCCCAGCAGCAGCCCCACCAATGACCAGGGCGTCTCGGATCCGCCAGAGACTCTGTTGACCTCTGTCCATTCCAGCATCCAGCTACGCTAGCGGCACCGGGCCGACAACCCATCTGCTGATAGCGGCAGACAGCCTGCGAGGCGGGGGCGGCGCTGGGGGTGGAGGCTGGGGGGAGGGGCAGCACTTTCACTAATTAATATGACAAAAAAGGGAAACAAAATTCCGGCCTAAGTGATCCTCCATGTGGCTCTGCCTAAAAATTCATCATGTCACAAAAACGTTTTGACGAAACTGTTGGTGTCTAAACGGTTTTTTAGAAAACGGCTGGGTGACCTGAAACAGTAAACGACCTTGCCTCCGCGTGTGACCGAATGCGTGGCTGTGAACGTGACGGGGGGGAAAAGGGGGGGGGGGTCCTTGATCCACTCCGTGCACTAACAGAGCCCGAAACGCCAAACCAAGCGTAATAAGTGAATTTGGCAGTCGACGTATGGGCCCCGGCCCCGGCCCCGGCCTAGGCCTCGGGCTTGGCTGGTCCCGCTCCCGCTCCGCCCCATCCAGGCCCCCTTCCAGCAGCACCACCGCAAACCCATCCAACTCCAGTGTGGTGGATGGATGGCAAGCGGCGCCTAGCGGCGCCCAGACCCAGCAGCCAGCCCGCGCGCCCCGCCCAGCACGTCAAGGCGGGCGGCAGGCAGGATGCCCCAGGGCGGTGCGGCCTGGCCTGGCCTGGCCGGACGGACGGCCGGACTTCGGTCGGCGTGCTGTGCGGGGCCGTGCGCGCAACCTCCGGCGTAACGTGTTGCACCGGCCCGGAATTTATGAAAGCAAGCGACACGAAACGACACTGAGAGGAGAGCAGAAGGTCTGTGGTATTTCCGATTCGATTTGGCAAGTTTTGAATTGGCGGTCGGAAAGGCGTGGCTGCGCGTCGCGAACCCGTATCAATTAGCCAACTTGGAGGTCATTTTAGTAGTGGAGGGGGGGGGGGGCAGTGTGTGGCGGCAACGCCCCTCGAAGATGGCAGTGGCGAGGCTGGCGCGGATCGCGGCAGGCTCGTTCCGCTCTGTCTCTCTCGCACCCACCCGGCACGCCCCGCGAGTGCGAGAGAGACAGCGCAGCTCGGGGAGGGACGCGAAATAAAGGGGGAGAAGTTGGCCGTGGGAGTGAGGGTGGGAACAAGGGGAGGATTTGAAAAGGGGGCCTGTGCAGGTGTGGCAAGGGTCAAGGGGGGAGGAGGGGGGGGGCGTCGCGGAGCCCCAAGGAGGGCAGACGCAGCCAATCGGGCGTGGTGGCGCGAGCAGAACGCCAAGAAGACTATGGCCGTGGCGGGGCGGGGCCGGGCGCGGCGTTCTTAGCCTTTCAGAACGCGACTCGTGGTTCAAGGCTGAATAGTGGAGAGTCGAACGCGTTCGGCCGTCAATGAGTCGTTGTGGGCCTTGTGCTCGGCCTTGTGCGTGACTCATGCGGAGTGAGAGACATAAGGACCGTTTTTATTTCTCTCGAGGCGCGGCGCCGCGGGGCAGTGGCGACTCGGTCGTCAAAGGAACCACTAAAAATGACGGAATTGTTTCGTTTTTTCGGCGTTTTACGGTGTCGCCGCGCTCGCGTGTCCTTCGGATTCCAGTGACTCAGTTTCCTCTGTGTTGGCGCGGTATTTTCAACTCAGCCTGCAGTTTATTTTCACAGTGGCGAAAATGATCCCGCACCGTCCGCAGTGCGCACCCACGCGCGTAGGCCGTAGGGCGAATCTTGAAGGCGGCGCTGCGTCCTTCAGGGCGAATAAACAAAATTTTGCCGCCAGGTAAACAGTTTCCCGGTGTGCGGTGTTCGCGGCACAGTATCAGAATGAAGGAGCCATTTCGGGGGGGGGGGGGGGGCCTCCTTCCCCACGGTGATTGTCCCTATCTCTGGCAGGATTAGGCCGGCAAGGGGGGAAAGCGTCTCTGTGTGTTTCCGCAGGAAAAGCGGAGGAAACGGAGAAAATGGAGAGGCAGAGCCACGTTGCAGCGCCACCGCAGCTTGAAAGGCGTTCCAGTGTGAAAATCAACCGAGTTTATAAAGGGCACCTTCACCTGCTCTAGAGATTCGGTCACTTTTTGACCAACTTGGCGAGGCTGGTGCTCCCTAACCGGGGGGGGGGGGGGGGGCAGCAACAACTTCCCACATTCGTTGTACAAAATTTGACCACAACTCTTTCGCGACCGGTCGTTACCAAATTCGGGTTTTGAAAGTGGCCGGCCGGCCGCTCGCACCCGGGCCTGGTCCGAGGAGGCCTGGGCCGCACAGTGGGCCAGAAGACCGGTGGAGCGGCCAAAATTCTATACGCGTTTTGAGCTCCAGAGTCGCTGAATGGGACTCGAACCGAACGTGTGACCCCACCAATGGATAGCTCTTGGAACGAAGAATCCATTGGTGGGGTCACACGTTCGGTTGGTGTCCCATTCAGCGACTCTGGAGCTCAAAACGCGTCTAGAATTTCGGCCGCCTCCACCGGTCTTCTGGCCCACTGTGGGCCGTGCGTCCGAGCGTATCGGAGACAAAGGCCGCGCGTTGGTCGTGGGTCTGCGTGGACGCGGCGCGGGCGCTGGGCGCCTTTTTTTCTGGGCGGTCCGGACCCAAGATCAAGGCGCAGATCACACTGCGCTTTGGCTCGGCCGACTCCTCTCTGGCCCCGCCCCGCCCCGCCCCGCCCCGCCCCGCCCCGCCCCGTACGCCTTGGAGCACCTCGTTTCGGTGGAGCGGAAAGTGCTGGCCAAAGTTAGATGTCCTGATTAAAGATGGCGCGGCGCTCTTTGGCTCCAGCGGCGCTGCCACTGCCTTGCGCCCCTCCCTCCCCCCCTCCCTCCCCTCCCCTCCCCTCCCCTCCCTCCCCTCCCTCCCATCCCCTCCCTGGCGTCGCCGCCTCAGGCTAAATGATTCCGAACTCCGAACGACGCTTGTCGCGTGTCTCCAAACGAATGCAACAATGTTCAGAGGAGCGTGGCATTACCGTCGTTTTCGGCCTGATGTCTTGTTCCTGCATCGTCCGTGTGCCTCCAGCCGGTCAGCACCCAGTAATTTCGCCCAAAACTTCACGTGCAATGAATCAGTGACTCGAATTGCTAGGTTCGACGCATCGCAAGGTCAGGAAGGCCAATTTGCCAGCGGGTGCACATCATGGCTCTAGTCGGACGTGTCCGGGACTCACGACCTTGGCGCCGCAGACTCCGCCGAGTAGACTCCGCGCGCCTTCGGGGGTCCGAGCGCGCCGAAGTGTACAGATAATGTGTCAGCAT